TACATGATTAGTGAAAGAACGTTTTAAATAGTCCTTCGAACAAGGGAGAAGAGATCGCTGAATGTTAAACGATAATACTGGCAGAGATTGCAAAATTACAGACATCTTCATTTGAATTATAGTCACGTGTTTATGTGCATTTCGGTGAAATAATCACAGAATACTCTGTAACTTCTGCGTGTCTATAATTACAAAGAAAAAAGAATTTTCGCAGAAATATCCAGTATCATTATTAGAAGAATTAAAAGGACAGAAATAATTATAAAATGCAGATAAGTAGAGGAAAAGCATGTCACGCGCTCCGAAAGTAAGAGCTTGCGCGGTAGAGATGCGTAGTGAGCGTGGCCTATAGTACGGCTTGACGTCAGATATAAAAGATGAAAGACGACACGGTATTCGCTTTCACCGCTGTAGCCCACAGTCGCGAACCAATAGTAAGCGAGTAGACATTGCCCAAGTTTCGACGAACTCGTCTTCTCTCACTCGTCACTCGTCACATGACCTGCACTCCTGTACGGTAGGCCATATTTGACAGTGGTACATACTAGTTTAGCGAGGTGAGTGCGTGAAGATCGCTCTCCATCCGACGTTCACATTTTGACAACCTGTAAATACTCGTGATCGATTTGACCTACGAGTCTTGAACACATCATGACGGACGAAAAAGTAGACGATTATCCTATTTACGCGCCTTTCTTCGGTGTAATGGGCGCCGCCTCAGCCATTATATTTTCTGGTGAGTTTCAGTTGTTTGTATTTGCTCTGAACAATTGATGAAAGAAAGCACAAATGTGATGATTTATGACCCGTACGAGAAAACATCAAATACGACCGTCGATGAGCTCTAAAAAATGTATCCTAACATCGACTGCTCGATCATACCGCACGCCATTTTCTTCGCTACGGATGGTATTAAATATAAGAAAACAAAATAAACTCTCGAAGAACAATCAATTTCTCAATGCGATCAATGTCTCAATGCCTCAATTTGTTCGCCGCTACTAATATGGCTCGTTTATCCTTTGATCACGTCGATAAGCTACGTTCGTAGGATCTGTAGGAATAAAACAAGTATTTTCGCGATCTCGCGAATTTATTTTGGTACATTTTATCGTTGTCAAGTCTGTCACACTGTAATATATAATTGAGCACAACCGATTCAGGTGTTCTAATCCGAAATACCGAAGATGTCAAGGATAGAGATTCAATTTTGAAGCGCCATTTTTTTTAGGCACGTAGATCTAGGATTTCGTAATGTTCCGTAAATGCAGTCCAACCAGCTTAATTTTACTTTACGAGAGAAACATATTCAGGCACCGCATTCGAGGACTCGTGTACTTGGCATGGTTATTTCGTAATGCTGACCTCGTTGGGTTACTTTTTCTTTTATTAAAAGTCTGTATGTATTGGTACAAGCCACGCGGGAGGAAAATAATTCCATCGGAGCATTTACAGAAATCAGTGGAAGATTCCAACCGATACGTGTCTCGATGTTATCGCGTCCCGGTTCAGACTTAATTTTCAGGAATCCTCTTGTTACTCTATCTCTTATCAACGAGAAAGAAGACATACCCGAGCCGCGTAAACTTAAACTTTGAAGCGTCGTCGACTGGTCCCTATCAGGAAAATCAATACGAATCCCTTTTCCCGTGTGCGCCAGTCTTGAATGGCCGGTAACACACAAGGATGACTTCAGCTACGAAGCGGAAGCACGAGTTCGGAATGCATGAAAAATCTTGATTCTGATCCAAATTATCTCACTTGTGTCCAGAAATCTAATGCTCCTCTGTGTTTTCGTTGACGTTTCTACATATATGTACATAAAGTTCTCTTGGCCCGTTTCATTCAAAAAATTAACTTTCGTACAATTAAACGAATCATCAAAAATTGAAAGGAAAAGATGCAAGTGTCCGCTTGTGCCACGCCCCCTACTCACGGGATGGGACTTACATGATTATCATGTGACTGCCAACGTGAAAATCATGTGACTACGATTTCCAGTCACGGCGGAATACTTTGTTGCGGCCATAAGTCAGATATCTTCTTTATGCCGTTCAATATTCAAGTTTTGTTAGAAATGTCGATAGAAACAGCTACGATATTTCACAATACATATATAGAAATCGGGTCCGTGACCTTCCCATTAGGGATCAATATTAAACGAAATCGATAGCTCTTGATATCTCGGGAATAACGGTTTCAAACGAATGACGGAAACCTGCTAAACCATTCGTTACTGACAATAAGATGAGAAACATTTCAATTACATAAAATAATGTAGGATTATAAGAAATAATTTAAAAAATAATAATTTCGATAATATTAAATGCAGTATCATGCTTACTTTAATTCCAGCTCTAGGAGCAGCATATGGCACAGCAAAGTCAGGTACAGGAATTGCAGCTATGTCTGTTATGAGGCCAGAACTTATCATGAAATCTATTATTCCTGTTGTTATGGCTGGTATCATTGCCATTTACGGTCTTGTAGTAGCTGTTCTCATTGCCGGTGGCCTAGAACCAACTCGTTATTCCCTGTTCAAGTACGTTATACAATTCATTTAATAATTCGAATTGATGTGTTGAGATTGAGATTAGTTTAGGTCAATAATAGTGCAGTACTTCTTTGTAATGTAAGAAATATTAATATTTATATTCTTTACGTATTTCAAAGCAAATTACCTTTCCATCAATATTTTGTTGACTACTATTTTTTACTTGTATACAATGTACGTTCATTATATAGTTACTGAATAATGTATAAAACGAAATAATTTCCGAAAGGATATTAAAATTATCGAATTAGATTAGAATTACTGTTAATTTGTTTTGCATTGTGAAATTCTAAGCTAGACTCTTACACACATTAATTTCCACATATCAGTTGCCGTAGAAATCTTAAAATGTAATGCTTATTTATATCTCCCACTTAAACAGTTTGCAGCTTAACTAGTTTCAATTCTTGTCTGCTTCATTTACTTTATCTATTCATATATGTAATATATTCGTATATAATCAACTGTATGTTCACTTTTTCCTTCTATAGTTAACAAAAATTTTTTGGTCTTTTTATTAGGGGTTTTGTTCATCTGGGTGCTGGCTTAGCCGTAGGTTTTTCTGGTCTAGCTGCTGGATTTGCCATTGGTATCGTTGGTGATGCAGGCGTAAGAGGTACCGCTCAACAACCTCGCCTGTTTGTCGGTATGATCTTGATTCTAATCTTCGCAGAAGTATTGGGTCTCTATGGTCTCATCGTTGCCATCTATTTGTACACCAAGTAAACAAATTTTAGTAGCAAGAATGCAAGAACTCGTCGCCTGCAACCAACAGCGCTCCCCGACTATTATAATATATACGATTTGTTTTGACATTTTACTTAAACACATTTTTCCATGCATACTCACATCGACTCATCTAAACATCCTTCTGTAATACTGTATTCAAATTGATCTATTAGAGAGTCCGAGCATTCAATAAGTACGTGCTCATTGGATGAATAACATATTTGTCGAAAACAAAATACTGCAAACGATTAACATGAGTACTAAGAGAAATTGATTAAACTATTTTCAATTGAAAAATAAATAATTCAGTCTTGCAGGAAGAGGATGTATGTACAGAAGGTACGAAAAGCAAAAGGCGACAGGGAAATGCACTAAAAAAGGAAGACCCAGATATCCCATGCCGAACATTTCTCTTTCACTGTATAGTAATCATCTGTAGCGTAGTATGACATTGAATTATCAGCTAAGATAATCGGCTCTACTGAGTGTATAAAGGAAAAATGTTATTGATAAAAGAATATTTAGCACAATTACATATATTAAATGCGATATTGAAATGGCAGTATACAGATGGTGGATAAACGTCTCCAACGACGTACGTCTGCAAGAGTATGAAAATTATGATATCCGATTAAGGAAATGGGTTGAACACGCAATTGTTCTGCGTGTATGAAACAGCATAATATACAATGATTGTACAAACTATATCTTCGAAAAAAGGGAAGAGGAAGAACGCAGATATTGTACAATCAGAACTACAAGACACAAAGTATAGTATATGGGATGAAATTTTAGAGAAGAGAACGAAGTGATTGTGAGTAGATAGTGGACAGATACATGATAGTATTAAGTCAATTCAGAGGCTGCTGGGCGTATCAGGAATTTGCACTTATTATGATTAACAATGCGTGGTTCACGAAATAGTTCTGGATGACTGCAAAGGCCAGCAGTGATTCCCCTGTTCGAGCTGAAAATACACTTCTTTCGCGTCTCATTGAAAATATATATACATGCATACATACATATATATATGTTCATGAAAAGATACGTTAAGACGAAGTAAGATTCCATACGTTCCAGCAGGTGTGTATGACTATCTAAGGAAACGGAGTTGCGAGATAATAATGGTGAAAAAAATAATTTGTACATTCCATAATAAGTTCATTCAGTGCAGGCGAGCGGGCGCTTGTAAGAGCATGATAAATTTTAATCTTCCTCGGACATTAACAATAGAAACCGAAAATTATATATACATACGTGTATATATATATACTACATTTATTTCTGTCNGGGGTTAGATGGAAGATGTAAACGGAAGATTTTATAAGAGTATGTCGTTATGGGAGCTAGCGATCAACTCGCCACGTTTCAATGACTTCTCGATCAACCGTCTTCCCTGCCCTTAATAAATATTAATCGTGTTACGGTTGAGAATAAAAATTCGCTGCGCCCGCTTGCCAAAGTTTATTGACTGCGCAGTATTTTCTACCTAAAAAAACAACAAAAGCTCAACGCGTAGGCGGATTTCCGGGAGAGAAAAACACAAGCACTAAATATGTAAAGAAACTATTTGGTTTGGCAATAGTAGCTCGAAAAAAAAATTGGAATTAGCTTTCTTTTCTTTTAGACATATTTAATGAAAACAAAAGTATGCATGAGCAATAGAAGTGTTTAAGCTTTGATATGATCTCTTGTTATCAACGATCCTCGATTAAAGATGCACTTATGTCAAAAATAAAATAAAAGAAACATTCTTTCGAGCAACTAGCTATCAGAAATTAAATTTCTTTCTTAAATTCTTAACAACGATAATAGGAAAACGGCGTAAACGGAAATGAAAGAAGAAAAGTCGATAAGCTTTTCAGGAATTCGTAACTACTGTATAACACAAGCGAAATGCAAATGCGAGCCGGGGAGCGGTGGTGGTGGCTTTCTGCAACGAGAGATAGAACGGAGAAGACAGAGCGAGAGAAAGAATAAGAGTGAAGTGAACTTAAACAAAGTTTACATTTGGAAAAACTTAAAAAGCAAGCACACAAATAATATTATGCCAATTTACCTCTGTGTCTCCCTTTCTTCCTACCTTTCTGAATACGTGTCCTGTATCTCTCTAATAACAATTATTGAAAAAAAGGAAAGATTACTTGCTATCTAATCATAGTCTGTGCGCGTGGAATGTATATATCACCCGCCATGCTTTACACTATACAATTAAAAGTTTTTAGGCTAGATTGTGTAGGTAAGATATTGTAATATCAACACCTTTTGTGTAGATGATGCGAGTGTGAGAGAATAATTACAGTGCGAACAACCACGTGCGTGCGAGTGCAGTGTATGTGTGTAGATGCCTAAATGACTGTGCATGTGTAAAGAAGAGCGAATGAAAAGGCGAAAGAAGAAAATAAACGTAAAAGCACTGGCAGATGGAGGAAAGACCGCTATTACCACCGCCGCCGCCCCCCACGTACTATCTTCCAGTGTTATTTAAAACAAAGAATAGACTCATTGTTGAGCGCAAAAAAGTGATACTGATCAAGAATAATTTATGTTATAATTCGTCCTCGATGTTACAGAAAATTAAACCGTGTTTAATAAAAATTTAATTTAGACAAACAGTATCAGTACTCACTTGTATGTCATCGAAAATTTACCTAACTGTATACATACAATATTAGCGATAAGAGAATAATTAAACGCATGATGTTGACGATCCATTTTTTATCACTGCCATTCAATTTAAAGAACCATGCTTTCTATATTGCATCATTGATACCTAACATCTCATTGTAACATTGCTCGACGTTTTACGTGCGAAAACATAGAAGAATACAGAAGTTTGTGTACAGTAGCAACTTGGATAAGAAGAAATTAGTACGATGCAGAAGGAAAATTTTTATTAACTCACCAGATATGCTACTTTCCACATTATCAACGAATAACGACACTTACCTGCAGCTCCCTGCAGATAAACGTTTATTCGATCTCGTATGTGTATAGTATACTCGTTCCTCGTTTGTGACTATACCATTATTGTTTACGTAATGTGTTCAGTAAACGTTGATAATGGAATTAACATTGGACGAAAATTGCTGTTAAAACTGCATGTGAAGGGAATGCACACTTGTTATATAATCGTATTCGTTCCAGATAGTTAAGAAAATTTTATCTGTGCGTTAATACACATCCACACATACATATATATATATATACATATATTAATTCACATATCCAGAACATTACACAAACCAGGCATACGTACATACCAGGAATAGACATGGTGTAACGGGATAAAATCTGATCGTCCTAGGAGAACAAATTAACTTTGATTTAAAGCGATGCAATTATAGATATATACATCATTAACTGGAATACCGGATTTTATTCAAAAAGCATTATAGTTAATCGTGTCGTACATCTATATATATATCAAGAATGATAGCAAATAATTATTAAATAATGGATCACTTTGGAGTCTGTGTAAATATCTTGAAGAAGAAATATATCGAGATGGAATCTGTGATTAGTTTATTTTATATTGTACTCGTATTCTTCAGCGATGATCATTCGTTTAATTTTATAAAAAGCCGCAAAGTTCAGTTACACATATTAGATAATTGTTTTTTAATGTGTATACGTTTTACTGCTGGCCAGCTCTCTTATACACACTGACAAACTAACGAGAACTTTGTGTAATTTAAGGGGCTAGGGGAGTCATGTGATTTTTCTAACATTTCGCGGTAAATTTTTTATGTTTTTTACTCTGTTCTACCAGCTCCACAAAAATAGTGTAAAATATGGATTTACGGAACTGCACATGTCCTTAGATAAGACGATTTTCGGATCGTCGGATACCTCTTTGAAAAGAGGGAAGTTAAATGTGGCGTGTCTAAGTGTCTAGCCCCTTAATCATATTGCTGTTTGTGTATAGCATGGCATTTTCCAAACTACATATTTTCTACAAAAAAACATGCGTTATTTTCTCATGTCGCTGTTAAATTCTTGTCAGGTTACGTTTAACGGCAGAGTACTTGTATCTTAACTCATCTACAGACGCAATTTGGAAATCGCTGATGCACACAGAATAGAATCTATATGTACGTAAACACACATACCTATACCTACATAGACCTTGATGTGTGGATTATGGAGTGTCCTCGACATCGATAACAGGATTTGCACAAGAAGTCAAATGAAGCGATCCTTAAATATCACTACAAAATCTTTTCTGTTGTTTTGTCGATTTCCCGGCAAAAGTTTGTTACAAAGGGATCAGTACAAAGGGCGTGAAAGGTAAGATTATATAATAACGTTCTGAACGTATTCAAGGTAATTTTTTACAGTATGACAAAAAACATTATATTTCGTTTATTTAGATATACGTGTATTATATCATATATATATATTTATTA